ATATATATATATATATATATATATATATATATATATATATATATATATATATATATTAGCAAATCTTTTAGCTATCACAACTATATAATTTTGCTATGAAAGCAAGAAAATTTGCTCCTGTAATTAATAATTTTAGTTGTCCATATATTAGCAAATTTTTTTTTCCGTATAGAATTAAAAGATGTGTGTTTGATGTTGATGAGATATGTGGAGGTAGGTTTCAGAATATTAAAATAGGTATTTAAAGGAATAATAAAGCTGAAAATAAAATAAAAATTTCGACCGAGATACAATCGAACGTATAATTAATTATCAGGCAATGATTCGCGGGAAATATAAGAGCGATATTATTATTAGAAGATGAAATATATTTTGGCATTGTTTTTCGAAAATCAAAGAATACTTTGATTTTTAACGCTTACTTTGAACAGCGTATCTGTGTGACTTTGTCTGTGTATCTGTGTTATTTTATCACTCGCGAACTTGACAACGTTTGATCGAATCGCCGAAAGCACTAAAGCCGTTCGTTCACCTGAAAAAAATAGTACTTTGTTAAAACACTGTTATCTAGATAGTTGAGTTCACGCGCTCGTCGGACGCGACGCGACGCGACGAGGGGTAGTTTGTAAAGTGTCGCTCGTTCGTTTATACTCATACCCAAAGGAACCGATTGCATCGCCGGCAGGCAATCGTGGCACGCGGTAAATTTAAATGCTAAGCAGCTGCGGCGCCCGCAACGATAAATAAAGTAGAACGTGATCTGCAAAGACCGCGAGAATTTTACGGTAAACCGACCACAAGACTATACGAATTTCCGCGGCCGCATTAAAATCGAGCGGCGAGACAATTTTCCGACGTTACGAAAAAACTCGCGAAACATATGCGGAGCATTTCGCGCGGAAAAAGCAGTTTGACTGAACCAAACATTGTTGAGATATAAATAAACCAGAAATTTTGGCTGAAATTATTAGAATTCGGTTTAATTTAATAAAATTTGGTTAGTCGGAACTTTCATGTTAACCAGAATCTTATCAACTTGAGCGGAAGTAGAATTGGTTTTCTCGATTATATTTCACCGAACATTTGGTTACTCCAATTTCTTTTTCCAAGCGATAAAATGTCCCGTGACGGATCGCGTTGGACGTCGAGTTATCGTGCTTTTAAACGCGCTATTTTAAGGAAATTTTAAGGAAGAAGAGCGAAAAAGAGTGATATCAAAATATTTCAGAGTAATTCGGGTATCCGTGATTAGCAGGTTAAAGAGCTGTATCCAATTGTGATTACACTCACCCTCAAGACCGATAAACGCATTAGGATCCACGTGGGTAATTTGATTTCCGTCGAGTTCCAAAGAGTTTAATTGCGTCAAGTGGGAGAATACACGCGCCGGGACCTCACGGAGGTGATTGTGCGCCAATACTAATGAATCGAGTGCTTTCAATCCTGAAAGGATAAAAGGTTTTATCGATGAGCCCATTTCATTTAATTTGACGAAACGTCCGTTACATATGCGTCCGTTAAAAGCGTTTATATTTGCATATAAAACGAGTTGACGTATCGGCTTAAGGAAAGATGATTTAATCGATATCACAACGATTCTGTGGGTAGAAATCGAGAAGGTGTAATAAAATTATCTTCGAGCGAGCTAATCGAAGATATTACGTATATTTGAAGAGAACACGTTTCAAATAACGGAATAAAAGTTGTTGGCTTCTCACCTGTGAAATCTCCTTCTTGTATGCTCATAATACGATTCTCTTGCATTTCTAATTTCTTCAACAAATCTAACGAAGACAATGCCTGAGTTGGGACCTTCGTGAGCTCGTTCCCGCCTAAATTGAGCCTCTTGAGTTTCCGGCTAATATTAAAAAGAAACAAAACGCGAGGGTGAGGAGTATCCTTGAAGTTAGACTGAAATATATCGGGGTGTCTGCTTTGTGTTCAACACGTTATTTTAAAAAAGTTAAAAGTTTGAACAAATTCACAACGCGCCTTACAATGTATTAAATTAATTATTAGCTGTGCAAATTTAACTTTCCACGTCTCGCGTCCTCGTGGTCACATATAAAAATCGGAAGTTTCGATTCCGTTTCGAGCTTCTCTTTGAACTAGTAAGTTTTAGTTAGCAAGAGCGACTTACTTGTCGAGTCCTTTGAACGCATCTGGTTCTATGTTACTGATCTTGTTCTCGTAAAGAGTGAGGATCTCGAGTGTGTCGAGACCTTCGAAAGCTTTGCTGTGGATGGCTGTGATTTTATTACGGTTCAAATTCAAAATTAGAAGATGGTGGAGGTCTCGTAACGCGAGGGATGGGACAGAAGTCAATGAATTTTGGGAGAGATCCAGCTGTGTCAAGTCCGTTCCTGCAAGGAAGTGAATTATTCAATTCCAGCGGCTGTGTTATGCTTGCAACCGCGATCGCATGGCTTTCGTAATTTTAGTCGGTCGCCGGTGGGTTTGAGGATTTCCCGAATTTAATTGAGTAACTTCGGATACGTATTCTATATCGACGAAGTTACATTCCGTAATTTCATCGATTTCGCAGACTAACTCTGTGTTGCGGCATAAATTTCCATAATAAACCGACTTAACACCATATCTCGCGTCTTGATCGAGATTAAAGCGTCTGGTAGAATTTTAATTATCGCGTGGTCGCGATTTTATGAAAAATGCAGCTTTGTGAGAATTGTTGCAACAGCAACGAGACTTGTCACATTTTAGTCAAGTGAGCAACCATAAACACGATTTATAAATTCAACGAGGCTGTGTCGCGATCAACCGCGTTCACTGCGTCGGCTAACGGCACGACGCATCGAGTCAGTTTCTCTCTGCTTTGTCTATAGTCAGACCGCCGTAAAACGCAGGCTGTGGAAACTCAAAGCTCCGTAGGAAAAATAACATTTTCCATGTGTAATGTTCTTTCGACGTTGTGAGTTAATGCGACCGAGCGATGTCTCGCCGAGATGGCTCGTAGTGCTGTATTCTCATTAAGGTTTTCCCCTGCACGGGGCTACCACGCGACCTGGCTATCTCCGCACGTATCTCGAATACGGCAGGTGTAAAAAGAACGTATTTTCCAGTCCCTTACAGTAATTTATTCCGAATCTGCGTAGCCGCAAAGGCGGCGCTGCGGCTTTAAAGCCCGGGGTTTCGTAAGAGATTTAAAGGCGGGTTAAATTTGCAGTCGACTTTAACGCGGGCCTCGCGTGACAGGCTGAGTGCTTCAATGTTCGCTTTAATATAAAAACTGATCCTAAATCTTCCATGAAAGTCTTTTGACGCCAGAAGACAGGTGCTGTTCTGCGCCGTAAAAAATGTTACTACGCGGCCGTCGTGCATGAGGTGGCAATGCTGTGTTTCTTTTTCTTTCTTTTTTTCACCGTGTCGCGCAGTAGCAACAGGCTTTGTAATTACGGACTTTTGAATACCGGCGTGATATGTGTGCGAATTCATTCGCCGGGAATTCACGTCTTTCTGTCTATTGTTTCCAGCTGTAACTCCAAAGATTAAAATATTCGCAATAAACGAGCTACTTAGAAAACTGCACAATTCTGTTAAACGAGAAATTAACAATTACTTGTCAGCTAGTGCAATAACGACAAGTTTTATTAGCGTTTCGATGAAATACAAATTGCACGGACCATCGCATGCTCTGAAAAATTCTCATCTCATTTTCCGAAAAAGAAAAAAAGATTAGAATTTCGATATATCGTCCTTTTCCATGTTGTCATATTTCTCCATTTTCTCTTCCATAATAGTATTATCTGTACACTTACCAAGAGAACTAAGGGAGGCTTCCTCGAGTACTGCAAGGCTACTATTGTGAATAGTGAGATGGTGTATGTTGAGCCCAAGGAACACATACCCCTGTAGCTTAGGCAAGTTGTTGTGCCTAAGCCTAAGGTAGAATATCACGACGTTCGATTTTCCCTTGAGTACGGTCATGGCCTTGAAGATGTGCGTCATGTCAGTGATCTCGCACACGATGTCCAGGCCGGCTTTTTTCACGCTGCAGGAACAGGGCGAGATCTCGTAGGGGGTCGGACAGAGATGCGACGTTTGCGCCAAACTCGTCACCAGCACGAGGCAAAGCAACCACAACAGCCGCCACACATCCAGTAGACCGTGCTTCCTCATTTTTCGTACGGCTCCACACTTCGTCCTCGTGACTTCGTCACAACGGTCAACCCTCCCGTACCTTTCGTTCGCCTCCGCCGTACCACCTGTCCTCCTGGCGTACACCACTCTCGCTTTCTGTCGGCCGCACGCCTCTCGCCAATCTACCTCTCGCGCCGTCTCCGTTCCTGTACCTGCAGCCTGCTACTTAGCCTCTGCTCTTCTCATATCCATTGTTCGCTCTGCCACGGTGTACCAAGACACCGAGTCTGCAAGCAAACAACGCTAGATAAGTTTCTCTCCTAGGTACATACGTAGAAGAGACTGAGAAACGCACAGGGTAGTTGGTTGAGAACGCGGATTCGATAGAAATAAACCGTGGATATATCGGGTAACTTTCTGTTAACGGAAGATAAGGAGAAATGTCCATAGTCGAAATTTTGATCCTATTTTTAGCTTTACTATTCCATTCAATATTTATTTTGGGCGTGTTCCACTTAACGCTCATAACGATGCGAGCGTCACTGTATCTTTGTTGCTCATTGGATGTTAAACAAAGATAGAATGACGCTCGCGTCGTTGCGAGCGTTAAGTGGAACGCACTCTTTGATACTTTGAAACTTACATCAACCTCTCTTGATTCTATTTCATCTACTCGAGTTGAAATTTTGATCCTACTTTCAGTCTTCCACTATTCCATTCAACATCTATTTTGATATTTTGAAATTTATAATACAATCTATTTTAATGCTAAAGAAAGTGAAAAGGGAAATTGCGGGCATTATCAAAGTCAAAGTAGGAGTAAATTGTATCATTATAATTAAACCTACGTTGCTAACTTGGCTTCTACTGCATTGTAGAATTCAAGGTTTAACATAGGGTCAAAATTTGGTGACTCGTGATAGCTTCTGCTCCTTGAAAGCTCACCTCGACGCTTATCGCGACATTTTTTACGCTCTTTTGATTACAGCGCTAAAAAATGCAATATTTCCCAGAGGTACATGTTATCGATATTATAAATTTCATTGCCTAATTTGTCTATCCTAACTCTACAATTTGTCTTAATTTGTCGATTCTTTTTTAACGAACAATTTGTAGTGTTCATTAGTACTTGCAGTTACAGAAAAATATCGCGGTATTGTTAGAGATAAAACAGGATGATATTCAATGGATTTCGATTTGATATTGATTCAATAACCGTGCAGTTTGCGCAAAAATGGCGAATAGCAATTTATTTTGGAATTATTGTTTGCGCGGAATTACAGCATATTTTAATATATCGAGACAATAACACAGCGCATACAGACGGCTTTTTTACTATATCCCAATATACCAAAAGTCTGTAATATGGAAATATTCGTACATAATAGTCAACGCGTAATAGTCAACTTGTCGATCGTTACGACACTTGCGCGAACTTTTACTCACATTAATGGCAGCAATAACACCAAATGTTAGTATTCATCAGTATGATTATGTGCGACGTTACAACGCCGTTAGCATCTTCGTAAAAGACGCTTGTAAAATCCGGCGCGTTAAGAATTAACGAATTACATTTGCACTGTATTTACAACCGTACGATTGCCATTTAACAGGCATTTTCATTTACTGTTCGTAAAGTGGAATCCGTTAATTAATATATTTTTAGTCGATAAAACAAGGTAACATGCACAAAACTAGAAAAAATATATCTCTTGATACATTTGAAATCAATTTTTAGCAAAAATGTCGACGCAATTAATTACGCGAAAATATTTCATATAGTAATTAAACGATTTAAAAGCACAAACAGCTAATCGCCCGTGTATTATTTTTTTCATACATTTTATATGTATTCATTTACGCTAAAAAAATGTTTTGCTCACCCAGATAGAATTCTAAATGACATAGTTAAAATTTATCGCTGTTTTTTTGCATCCGCTAGATTGTCTGCGGTGGAACTTACAGCAGTAGCGTTCTAGCAGTATTTGCAAGAGCCAATTAAGACAGATACGAGAATTAAACATTTGTTTGTCTGTCGTAGCTGGTCTTCTTCGTTATTACAATCAATATTATATAATAAGCGCGACTGATTTTGATCTGGATGAGCGCCACAGAGACTTTCACGCTAAATTTCACAAATAGTTCGGATAGAAATTCTATCTCTATCATCTATATTGATTGAATACAAAACATACGATATATCGCGATATCTGCTAGTCATTTATTCATCTTGGCTTTCTCGTATCTAATTTTCGCTGACTGCAAAACTTTTTTTTTAGTGTAAAAAAGTAATGTTTTTAAAGCTACAGTCAGACATTTCCTAAGGAATAATCGATTCAGATAGAAATCGCGTTCTCGATGCCTTTTCGTGAAACTTTCGTGTATTTTATTCAGCAGACGCGTAATTTGACGATAATGTAACCAACGATTTGCACCTACCGAGCCATGTGGCAGATATCTTCTTTTAGCGCGTAAAACACTCAACGGAAGGCGCAAAATAGAATGACGATGTGTGTTCATGGATGCACTAGGCATCTCTTATATCGCTACGTGCGCGATAAAAAATTCATCGCATAATTATTGGCGCGCGCATCATCGTTTTTTTAAACACTCTCGCATCCTGCTGTTCGTTATGCAACAAGTAATCACTGTAGCAAGAAAATGCGCAGTTGCAAATTTCTCGTAAGAAGTTTCTTCACAGAACTTGTAGCACCAGGAATTTCCGCGTCGCGTTGCGAATCAGAATCCTCTAGATTCTCACTTCACCTATACACAATACACGAACACTATCGGAGATCACCGTCTCAACACAATTGTATTACGAGGGATCTTCGGAGCGCAACTGCGAAGTTACGGCGATATCGCGCAACGACGAATGCGCCATTATCGAACTCCCGCGGCTCGCAATCCCATCGGTGCGCGCGTGAATGATTTATTTAACGCCGGTGAACATCTCTTCTCAGCCGTGGTCCTCTGTTCACTTCACCTACGCACGCCCGCAAACTCGTTCGGCAAAACTGTCGCGAAGCTTCCGCTTCCACCCACAAAGTAATCACTCACTGCCTGCTCAGTTTGATAGTAATATCCGCGCGCGCGCGCGTTGTCTATCCGGCGCAATTGCGCCGCGAGTATCGCGGTCGTGTCACGGTGTCATCGCCGACGTAGCTCTCCGAATAACGATATCGATAGGGTACTAGGATCTCGTCCGATTTCGTCAGCCTGGGAGGAACGCGGCGAAAAACAAACGTTATTCCACACGAAGTCTCCTTCGATTCGCCGGCGGAAATGTGGATGGTACGGTCTGACGTGACCCCGGAAGTCAATGGATTCGGAAGAGCGCGCGATATGGCTACACGGAGTCGGATGGAACCGACGGCGCCGATAGCGGGGCTGCCACTAAGATAGACTCCGAACTAACGAGACGCGAAGGCGGCACAGTTTGCGCCGAGCTCTGCGGCTGCGTTGCCGGTGACCTGGCTGTCCGTCGGCGTCATTATTATGCGGCTAATAGGCCGCTTCCCGCACTGGAATCATGGGATTCGGGGGACGACGGTGGCGGGAACATGTCGGCCAACGTCGTTTCTGCGTGCTCTTACGATACTGATCGCCGACGCGGACTTGTTTGTTTCGCGCGAAGGGCTCGCGACAGGGTCGTTGTAAGAGCCGACAAAGGGACGAACACAGTGGTTTGCCGACAGAGAGAGAGAGAGAGAGAGAAATTTTGTATCTTAAATCTTTTTCCGCATCGTGCTGTTACGTCTCGCTAATGCTTCTTCCTTCCACTTCGCATCTATATGTTGCGCGAGAGATGATTTGGCGCGACTGTTTCAAATTTCCAAGAAAAAGTTTTCTCAAAGTGGCAACATTGAGAATTAAAATACAGAACTGCGCATACACGTGACAGTCGCTTCTTTACGTTCTTTTTGTTATTTATTCCTGACGGCAACGTGTCGTCCTCAAGATTACTTTTAGTGAATATTAATTCCATTAGTAACTTCAGGATATAATAAATACCCGACCAGCTACTTGCAGAAGAATAAGACACGAATAAAATGAATTAATTTATATACGTTAAGAGACGTTTGAGGGACATTACTTTGAAACGCAAACGTTTTACTTGACTTATTTTGCATATAAAATCAACATAAGCAAGTATTTCGCTTTAATCTGTCTATTGACACTTATTAGATGCGAGTATTAATTTATTGAATATGGAAATTTAATGCTTACGTTTTAATGAGATGAAAAATTTACATATCTAATCCGATAGATTACATCCAGCGTAAATAAATGTTTTCCATATATTTCGAGTTAACATCACATTACATATTCAAAATTTTGGTTATGTAATTACACGATAATATCGCGGTAACGTTTCCAAATTAACAACGTCCGAATCTAATTGCCCTTTCATTAAATACGCATCCACGGATCTTCCAAATCGTTCCAAGTACGTCTGTCCAAATCTTCACAATTACACACTTACACACTTACACAATTACTACACTTCAAAATTAATGATTCACCGATCAGTCTCCGGAACTGCTTAATAAAATAATGGCTTCGTTATCTATAGCTTAATAAAATAATATCTTCGTTATCGTTATTTGTTTTTAATTAGCGAAATTAAATCACGTTGTAATTTTGGATCAAGCAGTCAGTCTTAAAGACAAAAACATAGAAGAGGAAAATAGATGGTTACGGAGAGGGGGAACGAAACATTATTACGCATTCCGAATGTAGGCCTTCCCACGTTCTAGAAACCAAGGCGGCGGATATCGCTCGACCGCTAATTGAGTTTGGCAGTGAGTTGCGTTCGCGGAGAGGAAGATTCAATTGAGAAAGTATTAAGAGCTTTCAGCTTCCGCAGCGCTGATTTCTTCCGCAAGTGACATTCCGACGCGATACCCCTCAAATTTCATTTTCGCCTAACGCAATGAGCGTAAAATTCAAAAAGTTGCCACGGTGCGTCGGGCAGAATTGAATCTATAATTCATATAGTGGAGCGTCCTCGTCGAGGCGAAAGTTTGCCGACGTTTTGTTGCCGCACAAAGTAACGGGAAAATCAGCGCCGCGAAAGAGTACGTAACGAGACGACAAATTGTCCCGTGTCTTTTCTCTGTCGTCCTCACAGACACTTTATAATTATCATGTAAATAGAAACAACAGATTCATTTAAAACGCAACGCTAGAAAACATCCACGAAACACGCCTTCGTCGACGATTTTCTAAAGCACAATTTACGTAATGAAATCGCAATGAATGCTCGACAACAATGCGGTCGTGGTAATTAAACCAAGTCAAGTGTTTCGATGGCTTACCCGAGCGTGCGAGTACTTTTCGTTAAACGGGCGACGTCACTCGAATCGATTCGTCTTCACTCTGCCGACAATGGGTCCCGTTTTGTTTGCACGACGGTTGACGTAGAATAAATTGTACAATTTCGCCAGAGGGAGGAAAAGAGAGTGGGAGAGGAACACTCTATTAAATTGAGTGACGTCGACACTTCGATAACGCGCTTCGGCTACGCTCGCAGCAGCTACACTTTTCTTCATTTTCCGCGCCGGCGCGTTCCAACGACTGACTTTTATCCCCGTGAAAAGAGAGAAAGAACCTGCGAAATTCAATTTCGTCGCGGGCAACGCGTGTGTAGTCTGTATCGAAAAGAAAAGGACCTCAATTATAATATTGAATATCGATACCTTTCGGCGGTGCTGTGGTCCTGAAAAATATGTAGCAAACCTTTAAACCGTGTCTTAATAACGCAGCAAACGAGACTGTCTTCATAGTCACACGGAGACTTCGTGATGCAATTTATTGCTGTGTTTACAATTTCATTACATAATCAAATTATCTAACTCGTGACGTGTATTTACGTTATTAGGCTACATCGAATGCGCCGCTTTCAGCTTCATTGTAGTGATCGAACTTGCGCCCTACACTCTCGCATATTTAACAAATTATGTCCCTAAATTTAAGGGCCAAACTTATAATGTGCGTGGCATCTGAATATCTATTTACTGCACGCACACATCGAGAGAGAAAATATCTAAAATATAAAAAATATTTATTCTTGGTAAAAGCACTAATAACATATTTATCTAAATTTAGATTTTTTTTATATACATAGAATTGATTTCATGAGAAGCTAAGGTTTTAAGAAAATGTGTACTTTCTTATCCGAAAAAATATATTATATATTACAACAAATAAATATGTTATTAATATTAATCGAATAAATATTTTTTATTTTTTACTCGGAAAGAATATTATAGTTTTCTTTTTTCATATAATTTCTTTTCAGTGTATACATATATATATTTATATATAATAGAACGCCTGTCTGTATATTTCCTATATAAATTCATAAACCCTTTAACCAATCTGGAGCAAATTTTACATAGTTACTCTCTAGGACCTTGCGGAAAATATAGGCCACATGAAACTTGTGGGTATCCCAACCCTGATCTCATCTCCTTTGTGACAACCCGAACGATAACCCGGATGATAACGGGTAGTTTAAACTAGTTTTGCTATGTTTTTAGTAGAAATATACTGTCATAATACTGAAATATACTGAAATATATTGCCTGTCTGGTTGAAAAACAGTAAATGTCGCTAGAAACATAGCAAGTGTTTTAACCTTTTCGTTACTAACGAGACATATATTTTTCCTATTATTATTAATAAGCTCATTCAATTGAATAAATAGCTATTCGGTATTCAGAACACATCAGCTATTACTTTACTTATTACCGCGCGTTGAGACAAATATATTCTCCCAAAAACCCCAGCCGGGATTAATGTCCCGGTTCTATCTCTAGCGTTAAACATAAAACTTTTAATTTTTTGCTTAAACTACACTATATATTAATGTATTTAGTGAAGTAAAAGTAAAAAATGTATATCTTTAGCGAAAAGATTAATAGTATGTTTTAGTTCCTAAAATATGAGTAGCACATATAAAATGAAAGGACAGTGAATTAGTGCAGAATGTCGATCTATTTCTCGATTACAAATTCTCTCTGTGTAGATATTTTTTCCTCTCTCAGTATAATACGGAAATGAATAAAAATGAGCTACATTTTTGCGATATAATATAAGTCTGTTGCTTTTATTCGTACTTCCTGCACTTATTTGCAATTTTTCTTCTTATTTCCTTTCAAGTGGATCTCGAATATATTCATGTAGCCTTGTTAACACAGCTCAACTGAAAACAAGAGACCTATTAAATTCAACGATTACGCGGCGTTTCTTCATAGTTTTGATCGCCACGAGCCAACATTACGAGCTTATATTTATCACGTTTCACGATCATGTTTGCGATTTCATTACATTATCTTACGACGATCCGTGACTCGCGTGTTATCTCGTTGCGAGAATCAAGCGGCGGGATGCCCGCTCCCGACTGAGCCACAATGATCCGATTCACGTCGCGTTCTCGGCCTCGGAAATCCTTAGCGTACTTCAACGTGAAATATATATGACGAGCTTGTTACGCTTTATTAGCATACGTTACGTATGATTAGCATGCGTCGTTAGACGCGCCCACGTACGTATCGAGGGTCATGCGTTCACGTAGCGGTAGATTGATAGCGGGCGCCGTCTGGCGATTAATGCGCACCGTGATCGATGAGATCGAAAGCTGCTCATTCGGAATATCGGCATGCCACATGCACTACAACGCGTACCAAAAGCAACAGATATTTTTAACTGCATCGATGCATTTGGGAACTTTACATACAGAGTGTCTGATGACTCATGAATACACACCCGTTGTGCGTAGATAGAACTCATCAAACTGAGAACGCAAACTTCTCCGTTATTTTACAAACAAACCCGTAAATTTTTGGAGTTATTATTTAAAGAAAATCGATAAACGATCACACGTAAAGGCATTTGCCGTTGTGTGCTTGCACATTAGGCCAAATGAAACAAAAAAATTCTCCATCCAGTTTTGGAAATGTGTGTAACCACGTAGATCTGCAGTTATTAATTAAAGAAGATTGATGCATTACCACGTATAACCGTGCACCATCATCGCGCGTGATCATTCACCAATTCTTCTTTAATTAATTATTCAAAGTTCTTTGCGAAATGATGGGGGAATTTTGTGTTTAGTTTGATGAATTTTGCTTGCATACAATGAGCGTTATTAGACATTGTGTGTAGATGGGCGATAAAAGCAAATGTGTGTAATTTCGGCTTCATTGTGCACACATGCACTCTCGTTGCACGTATGGATTGAAACGACTGGACGCTCAGGAATTATTGAATTGACGCGATAATGTTAGAACGGTGTCAGGAAATTCGAATCAATAAATAAAGTGACAGAACTACTCTGGCACAGCCTTTAATAATTATATCACACTCCAGCATTTATCTAATATAAATCCATCGCGATACGCTTGCCGCATATCGAGAGATCGTCTCGCGTCGGCGATAATA